TTGAACATTCTTAACCTCTTTGCTTAACCATATACAGTGTGGACTGTTCTTGGGGCTGGACATATTTTTTTCCCCTAATCTTCATAACAGCCCTGCAAGGTTAGCCTTATCACCATTTTACAGATGAGAACAGTGAGACGCAGTGGCTCAGTAAGTTGCCCAAGCACAGCCATACTGCTTGTTGGTCCTACGTGGGATTTCTACTCAGATCTCTCTGGCTCCAGAACACACATTCTACATTACACAATGCTGCCTGTGTCATCAGATTCTCTTCAGCTTTTTCAGGAGTCTCAGCTGGTCCTTTGAATGATTACTTTAAACTTCTTTAGCCTAGGCAAATGCTAATCATCTGGTAGGAGACATTTCTCTAGAACATTCTAGAACCATCTGGTAGGAGACATTTCTAGAACCTTCATTTCTCTAGAACCTTTAGATCATTAGGAGAGAGGAGTATTTTAGAGAAGTCCTTGAGGGGTGGTTGTATTATCCTTAAGTCCTGAATGGAAAGGTTCCCTTATTAGTAGCATCACCCTTCTCTCTGAGAATTTGGTCAACCATGAAGAAGAGAATATTGTAAGTAGGGGGCATGGCAATAGTTAAGCAGCTTTAAAAGCTATTGGCTCCCATATTGTACTAAGAAATCCTAATTTGCTAGTTGGAGAATCTAGTCTTTCCCCAGTTTCTTCCTCCCTCCTTTTTTTTTTTTTTTGATCTGAAAGAGGAAATGTTATTTTATTACAGGTTGAGTATTCCTTATGTGTAATGCTTGGGACCAGAAGTGTTCTCATTTCAGACTTTTTTAGATTTTGGAATATCCTTACACGTTGAACATTTCAAATCCAAAAATCCAAAATCTGAAATGCCCCAATGAGCATTTCCTTTGAGTGTCATGTCAGTGCTCAAAAAGTTTTAGGTTTTGGAGCATTTCAGATTTTGGATTTTTGGATTTGGGATGCTCACCCTGTACCAGCAATCCAATTATGGAATGCCAAAGTTTTATTCTCATACCCCATGGAATCTGATACAATCTCATTCATGTAAGGAATTGGGGACATTGCACCATGATTAAGAACCTGGTTAAATCTCATCATGTAGTTCAGAATTAAACTTATCTAAAATAAGGAAGGAGAAGTGAGTTGGTTTGAGACTTCATTTGAGTGGAATTGAACTTCTTTATGTAAATCTTTGCACTCCCACTTTGAGTTGGTGAAGATTGTTTAGCATAAGCTCATATAATTGGCTCTGTTGGGAGTACACAATCTATATAGTTGGAAATCTAAGTGGCCTGAAGATATCATTCTCTTATATTTTATAGACATCCTTGGTGATAAAAAAAATCAGAGCAGGTATAGTCCTTATCCTCTAGAAACTTAAAATTGGAACTAATGCTAGCACTAATCATATGGCATACAATGTAGAGTGTTTCACTTCTCTGCTTTAATCCTCATAAGCAAGGTGTCATCATTTTACAGCTGGGAAAACTAAGGATCAGAAAGATTATAACCTAGCCCCAGGTCATGTTACTAGTGGCAGAACTGGATTCAGAGTCAGATCTGCTTGGTCCACAGCCTGAATTCCTCCCTAGGACACATTTGCCTCGGGAGGAGGGTAGGAGACTGATTGTAAGCTGCTTTCTTACCTGCTGATTCAAGAATGGGGAAGGAGGTCATGTGTACAGATGGGGCTTGGTAGTAACAACAATGCCATCTCCAGTACCCACTGTATGGCTTCAGCTTCATTTCACTGGATGTTTAAGGACCAACACTCTTTGTATGACAACTGAGTATGGCACAGGGACTCCTCAATTCAAGTGGCTTCTCCAGGCCCATTACTAAGTCTCATGGGGCCCAGGACAAGAGTATACATGGAGACATATATATCATATGTGGGATAACAAGCTAATGGACTGTGAAATATGTTCCATCCTCCTACATTGACAAATAGACCTTCATAATGATTTGGAAGGATGAGCTCTCGAACTTTCTAGAGCTCCTGTAGAAGTGTAGAGGCCTTGGCACAGTTGCCTCTGACCCAGTGGCTTTCCTGCTTCTCTTCCCACCACCGCTCTTTCTTGCCTTGTGCCGAGGCTTGCGCACACACACATGTGGACGCTCCAGTCTTCACATTGGCTTCACAAGGCTTCACTCTTGCTCCTGCCCTGAATGACTCGGTCGCTCTTCAGGTCAAAAATTGGTCACACTGATGGCGTAATCTGCCCTCGGGAGGATGAATCTAGGAAAGAGGCCTGTACAGATCCTGGAAGTGGGTGAGGGGCTTTGGGGACAGGGAGTTCTGGGGTCCTGGGAGCCTGGTCTGGCATGTGGGGCATGGATAGTGGGAGAGGCATGTCCCCTTGGCCGTGTGGACTGGACATCCTGTGGGGTGGGGTGCAGTGGGAGGAGGGCCAGAACAGGCCTGGAAAGCAGAGACCCCCTTTGCCAGTACCCAAGGGCAACACTGGGGTTCTCAGTTGTAAACAGATGAGATGTGCAATGCATTGAAAACTGACCCAATTTCCACTCCCTAAATCGGTGGCTCTTCACCTTTTCTGCGGGCCCTCCCCTTTCTCGCGAGCAGCATACTACTATCGGTAATGTCATGATGTGCAGTGCTTCTGAGGAGGGATCGCAGCAAAATCTGCAGCCACAGCAGGGAGAGGAGGTGCGTGTCATTTCTAAGGAGCCTCCCTGCAGCCCTCATAAGCCGTCCTAGGGGGCGAGCCCCCAGCCCCTCCCCTTGGAGCGGCCCTAGGTGCCTTTAGCTGCCTGCAGAGAAATGCTAGGGAAATCATCTCTGCTGTCGCATCTCTTTAAACTTTAAAGCCAGGAATTATGCTCTGAGGATCTCTTCAAAAGAAATTACTTTCCAGCTAGATTTCATGCTAGCACTTTAATTTTTGTCACAGTGGTGTACGGCCTCGTGAGGGCCTGCCAGCCATGGAGGTGCAGGTCGGGTGCCGCAGCCGCCACCGCCGCCACGGGAGCAGCCCAGCATGCCAAGAGTGCACAACCTCAAGTTCAACCGGAGAAGAGGTATGAGCCTCATGTCAGGTACAAATAAGGCTTTCTCTTTACTGATGCAAACACCAGTAGATACAGGCTGCCTAGGAGGAAAGGCGCTGGGAAAACCCAGTACGTACGAGTAGTATGTTATTTTCTTGGTATCCTTTCAGTAGCTGTTAACCCACAGATTTTATACGTCTCCCCACCTCTGCAACAGGGCTTTTGTTAAAGGACATATAGTTGAGTACAAACAGTCTGCAAGTCATGTGACAGTTTGGTTCTGGACTATGTCATGTAACAAATTATATATATGCTGCAAATGTATTTATGAACCTAACATAATTATGCCTATGAAATGTATGTTCTGTACAGAATAAATAATAATCCACCAAGAATTTCTATAGGAAACTCTGCCGTTGTTTTTCGTCTATTAACACAGTGAACATAATTATAAATGACATAAGATGATTTATAGTTTATTAAAGCGATCAAGTACTCGTTTCCGACCTCACCTCTTCCGTTTGCGGGTGGCTGGCAGCAGGCGTGACGTTGTTGCTGTGCCCTCTTCAGTAGCAGAAGCCACAGCTATCCCCCAGTCTTCCTCTGTGCGGAGGCCACAGAAGGCTGTGCACGGGGAAGTTATTTAGATGAGTGCGTAGGAACAGCATGCTTTAACGCGAGGCAGAGAGGAAGGAAGAAAGTGACCTGTTTAACTCCTGACCTTTCTGCCAGACCAGCCATTTCTCTGTGAAAGTTGTGCAACTAGGAAAATAAAACATTCTTACTTTGTGTTTGTTATTTTTCATGTGTGATCGTGGGTACATGGATTCAGTAAAGTGCAGTTTGTCAGGGATAGAGTGTTAGGGGTGGGGCCCTATGTCGTCTCTGCCTGGCAGCGTGCCAAGCGGGCGCCATTCCTCTGTGCCACCACCAGCCCCTCTTCCCACTTCAGCCACTGGAGTAAGTATTTGGTATAAATCAAAGGAACTAATTCAGTGTAGAACCCTGGAAGAAAAATTATTTCACTGCTATATTATCCTAGTGGCAAAAGTCAATAATATAAATAGTCTTTTTTTTTTTTTATTTCAGCATATTATGGGGGTACAGATGTTTAGGTTACGTATGTTGCCCTTGGCCCCCCCCCCCGCCAAGTCCGA